GCCTTCTGAATATCCAAATAAATAACATCAGTTTGACAGTGATCTGAGAGAGAAGAGGTGATGGTGAACAGATGAGTTAAGAGCTGCTGAACAGTAGAGCAGTGCTTTAAAAAAGCCAAATTGGTTGGAGCAGATCTGAGAAGATAAATGAGAGTATATGTGATCAAAAATTAGGCGTTCAAAGACTTTGGAGATGATGCACAGTAAAGAGATTGGTCGATAGTTCTTTATTTGAGATTTGTCCCCAGACTTGGGAATCAGTATGATCTGATGAACATGCCATTCATTTATGGGAGGTAGGATTGAACCAAGCATTGTGTGAATAGATGGTGTATTGGTTACTATGATGAAAGATCGGACAGCTCTACTCTAACTCCGAAAAAACTGAAGTGAGGACATTTGATTTTGTAGTGTTAGACTAATGGATCACATTAGTTTAATGCTGTCTCAGTGCATTTTCTTCAGATTACAATTGATTTTTTTCATTTTCTAGTTCACATTTGTCATTAAGAATGTTTATTGTGTTTGGATTGTTGATGGGATGATGAAGGTGATGTTTGAGTTGTATGATGATGGAGGAAAATTGAAACTCAATTTAGCTGGGATTGATCAGATTGCTAACAAGAGCCTTGTTCATTACCTAAGTCTTGTAGGATTTGTCCATAATATTAGAAGAACTGTTATCATTGATAGAATTGACTGGAATTCTGAGAAATTTAATTTTATGTTCAATAACAATCAATTTTAGGCTTCAAAAAGAGAGTATATTAATATAACTAGTTGAGTTTCATGGCCAGCCGTTCATTTAAAAAAAAAGTACATTAAGATGTTTCACAGTTTATGTTATGCCACACAATTAACAAAAAAATTAAATATTATTAATTAATCAAGTTAAGACACTAGTCAAGCACTACTCCATTTGTGATCATCTTGTGCACTGGTGTACGTAGACCACTTTGCCAGAGGGGCCGACATGGGTGGACAGGAAATTGTGCATAAACTGCCATAAATATTTAAAACGAACAGAAACCAAAATAAACGTTATGATTTAGACCTAAAGTAACTTACATTTTCACTGGGAACCTCAGGGAATCTGCATGGAGGAAGTGGTAACAAGCAAAAATTGTGTGCCGAATTAAGCTACGCAGTTGTACAAATAATTATAGAAAAAATTATTTAAAAAATACGATATATTGACAGGAAATGATAATAATTATAGTGAGTTTATGATGATATTTTAATGTTGTATTTTAATTTTATATTGGCTTCAGAATCACACTCTAATTTTTTATTACATTTTCTGATGCATATTGACGTCCTTATGCTATTTAGAAAATTTGAATTATTTCCGACAGCTAATTTTCGAGTTACGAGCATTTTAAAAAATAGACCAATTTTTGAACAATACCCAATACAGCCCATGTTTTTTTAAATAAATGGCTTCAAAATAACCCCCAATTTTATTACATTTCCTGATACATATTGATCTCCTTATAGTGTGTAGAAAATTTGAACTGTTTCCGACAAATAATTTCAAGTTATGAAAATTTTTAGAAATAGGCCAATTTAAAAAAAATACCCAAGTATAGCCCATGCTTTTTTTTGTAAAAATGGCTCTGAAATCACCCCTAATTTTTATTACATTTCCTGATATATTGATGTCCTGATGCTGTGTAGAAAATTTGAACTGTTTCCGACAAATAATTTTTGAGTTATGAGCATTTTTAGAAATAGGCCAATTTTGACCCAAGGCTATAGCCCATTTTTTGTAAAAATGGCTCCGAAATAACTCCCCAATTTTTTAGTACATTTCCTGATACATATTGATGTCCTGATATTGTGTAAAAAATTTGAGTTGTTTCCAACAAATTATTTTTGAGTTATAAGCATTTTTAGAAATAGGTCAATTTTTAGCCCCATGCTTT